ATTGTAGCGGGTACATAACAGAGGTCTCTAAGCAAAAAGAAGACGAGCGGAGGCTGCAGAGGGCCTACGAGTATAGTGGCAGTGGAAGCCAGCATTAATATGTTGTAAGGGAAGTGCCAGAGAGGTAGAGATACAGGTCCTGCATACTGGCGAAGAAGGAGAGAGGTTTTAGTGCGGTAAGAATCCCACAGTACCATGACTCCACCCATGGTTCTTATGTAAGGTTTCCTCTCCTCTACAAAAAAAAGTGTTGTCTTAGACGTAAGAAGACGAACCGAATACAGAAGAATTTTCTGGGAACTAATGTTGGGGTGTGATAAAAAAAAGGTAACATGTGTACAATTTTATTTTGTTAGAATGGTTGGCCACAACAACGTAAATACTGTTCGTCATGTGTCATCTGATATTTTTTTATATAGATGTTTACCTACGATTACATTGTTACTTTTATTTATTTTTTACAAACTAGAATTATTTAGAATTATTCTGATAGTGATCACTTGATACTATCTCCACTTTAAAAATTAATGTGTTGAATTAATTACAAATAATATTTACTAGATAAAAACTTCCAAAAAAAATATGTCAATTTGCAATTAGTACTAGCTTAAATAATATCTATATCTTTCACTAGGATGAAAATAGAAATACAGTCGATTCCGCTTAATCGGGACACATTGAGTATCCCGCTTAAGCGCTTGGCCAAATTATCCGAAGTTCCACCAAAATTACTGAATTAGTGTTTTTTTATTTAATAAATTGCACAAAAAATTAAACAATTGTAAACGTACTACATAATAGAAAATGATATAAATTCTGTAACAATAAATATGTATGTATCAGGCACGGTGGATGCGGCTCAAGCACAGCATCCATGCGCATGGGGCGCAATAGAACATCCTTAGATCTGGCCACGGGGATTCACACATGATTACTGTCCCGATTAAACGGAATATTATACAGAAAAAGTGAAGTTTGTGTTATTTCCTTAGATGTGTTTCTGTTCTTTAGGATTTGTCCGTAATAAGCTGATGTCCCAATTAAGCGGAATCGACTGTATTATCTTGTAAATGAAAATGTTTAAGATTATTGAGTGTCAACTCATCGATCATCATTATAATTAAAATATCTAAATATAGCGATAGCAGGAATAGTGCGAGTACTTGTTTGAATTTATTTTTATTTTGTCAGTTAAAATCTAGTTTGTTTTGATATTTTCAAAACCGGACTGTTATTTTTTTACTTTAAGCAAAAACAAGTAATATTACATAATTTCATATTTAATTCTGTTATAAATAATTTATAAACATAATCGTTTCATTCGACGTAAAACATGTGCAAGTGCACACTTTCCATTGCATCATATAAATTTTATAAAAATAACTTCGTTAATTATATTTATTTCACAAGTAAAAAAATAAATTTAAACATTTTCTCACATAACAATAATAAAAAAAATGATTGTCTACTGAAAAGGTCTATTCCTCGTTTTACATGGTAGATAGGTTCCTGAGAAAAACGTTTAATTTTAACATTTATTTATTAATTTCAATTTTATTTAAACGGTGTAAAAACGAAAGCATGTAAATAAAGTATTGCGTAAAACGAGGGATAGATTATTTTAAGCATTTTTTTAACCGTCTAAATCGAGTACCGTGTAAAACGAGGGATACTTGTATATTTAAAATGTAATTGTCTTGTTCTCAAATTGCAAATCACGTTTTTAAAAATAATAATAATATTGAATTCCGCAAATATCGAAAAGGATCTTCGGAATAATTCAGCGAAATAATTCGAAATTTTAACATTTTTGTCTTTCGGCATTGCAATTTCATATCTTCATCAAAATTTATTGTCTTTTTGTATAAGTCTTCATTACAATGATGATCATCATCATTACAAATCTTTTCATTGTCTTCGAACTGGTTTTGTTACAATTGTTATGAAGAAAATTGTTAATTTTGGTATTTTAGTTAAGTACTCTTGTTGTCTTTAGCTTTTTTCTATTTTGACCTTTTAAATTTTTGGAAAATTAATAAATTATGTTTATTATTAAATGTGGTCAATAGGCCTTTGTATGAAGAAAATCTCATTATTCTAGTGTGTGCTAGATATTAAACGATTATAAATTATTTTTTAGTTTATAGTTTACAAACATGGTAAAATCTTATATAAAATTTAAATAAACAAGAAAATTAGGTATATAATGTTCTCTTATTTAATTTACAAAAAAAAACTTGCAAATAATATTTCCCTACCTAATGCTTGTTGGGTTGCCCACTTTCATTAAAAACTAATTAAGTGGGCAACCCAACAAGCATTAGATATCAAACAATGTTAAAGTCTTCTGGTTGCTTCAGACAGGGGGGGCGTTTCACAGGATACTTCAGAATATTCAGAGATAGTTATCAGCAGTGTTTGCTAATAGTCTCATAGTCTCGAACTGTGTAACATATAACATATTTGGAATCGCTGGTGTAAACTGATTGAGAACCATTAGCTAACATCAAACTGACATAAACACCGTAAACATAACCTAGAAGCAACATCAAACATTTATAAAGTTAGTGTTTTTTGATGTAAATAAAAGTTGAGGAATAAGCCAAAATGTCTATTGAAATTGAATCAGCAGAGTAAGTATTATAAATGAAACAAATAGAATAGTAGTTAACACATAGTAAATCTTTGTTTTAGTGTAATTCGACTCATCCAACAATACCTGAAAGAATCTAATCTCCACAAAACTCTTCAAACTCTGCAGGTAATTAATAAATTAGATATATTAATGAAGGTATAGCTTTCGATAAGTTGTAGCTAATAGAATTTGTTATTGTAGGAAGAGACTGGGGTTTCATTGAATACCGTTGATAGTGTGGATGGTTTCTGCTCTGACATCAACAATGGACATTGGGACACTGTGCTGAAGGCAATCCAGTCATTGAAATTGCCTGACAAAAAGTTGATAGATCTATATGAACAAGTGAGTGATGCAATAGCGAGTTGTATTAATTAATTGCCTTGTAGATTGTTTTAGAGCTGATCGAGTTGAGGGAATTGGGTGCTGCTCGATCCCTGCTCAGACAAACAGATCCTATGATTATGTTGAAGCAAAATGAACCTGAGAGATATATTCATTTAGGTAAGGATTTAATTATTTTATTATTGAATTTATATACTGATTATTGTTTTTTAGAGAATTTATTGGCTAGATCATATTTTGATCCTAGAGAGGCATACCCTGATGGTAGTAGCAAAGAAAAGAGACGCACGGCAATAGCTCATGCGTTATCTGGAGAAGTATCCGTGGTGCCTTCTTCTCGTCTCCTCGCTCTTCTTGCTCAAGCATTGAAATGGCAACAACATCAGGGTTTGTTACCGCCTGGAACTACAATCGATTTATTCAGAGGTAAAGCTGCGATCCGAGATCAAGAGGATGAACAGTACCCCACGCAAATGGGAAAGCAGATCAAATTTGGACAGAAGTCGCATGTTGAATGCGCCAGGTTTTCGCCGGATGGTCAATATTTGGTCACGGGCAGCGTGGATGGAATCATTGAAGTGTGGAACTTCACGACTGGTAAAATTAGGAAGGATTTAAAGTATCAAGCGCAAGAGAACTTCATGCTGATGGAACACGCGGTTCTGTGCTTGGCTTTCTCGCGAGACAGCGAAATGCTGGTCACAGGTTCTCAATCTGGTAAGATTAAGGTGTGGCGGATCAGCTCCGGTCAATGCCTTAGGAAGATCGAGAAAGGACACTCGAAGGGTATAACTTGTCTCCAGTTTTCAAGGGATAACAGTCAAGTGTTGAGCGCATCGTTCGATTACACAATCAAGTATGTACTACTGCCATATCCTAGGTGGACAAATATTAACGCATCAATTTTAGAATTCACGGTTTGAAATCTGGTAAAGCTTTAAAGGAATTTAGAGGACACACGTCGTTCGTTAACGAAGTCACTTTCACACAAGACGGTCATAACGTTTTAAGGTACAACTAAACTTTTATTAATATTAACATACATTAAGTTTATATTGGTTTCTAGTGCTTCTTCTGATGGTACAGTCAAAGTATGGAACGTCAAAACAACAGAATGTATTAGCACGTTCAAATCCATTGGAACTGGAGACACAACAGTGAATAACATACATACCTTCGCCAAAAACCCTGAACATTTCGTTGTTTGCAATAGAACGAATACAGTAGCAATTATGAATTTATCGGGACAGGTAATTTTTTATCATCATCTTTAAAAAAATATGTTTAATTGCTTTATTTTCTGTATTTAAGATCGTACGTTCATTTTCGAGTGGTAAAAGGGAAGGAGGAGACTTCGTTTGTTCGACGGTATCTCCAAGAGGTGATTGGGTTTACTGTGTAGGTGAAGATCTGGTCCTCTACTGCTTCTCTACCAATTCTGGAACATTGGAAAGAACATTGAATATACACGAAAAAGATGTTATTGGTATTGCGCATCACCCTCACCAGAACTTGCTATGCTCTTACAGTGAAGACGGTTTAGTCAGATTATGGAAACCTTAATAGATATAAGTACAAAAGTGAATATCGATTATTTGCGTTATGTAATTCGCGGATTTATAAGAAAATAATATTAATTAATAAAACGAACTCGATGACAAAAACTATCTATAAAATTAATTTCATAGTAAAACTATAAATATTTTTGCACGTTTTCCTTAGAAATCGAAAAGTAGTTCAGATTGTTTATTTTATTAAGATTTGTTCTTGTTTTATTGGAGTGTCAAGAAGGTATTATCATTTCATTTAAAATTAATATTAGTAATTTCCAATTCAGAACTGTTCTTGAAATTGTTATGGATAAAAAAACACAAAACAGAATAGTTAAAATAATTTCTTTTACTAAAAATATTTGGCCAATAACAACAAACGTTTATTGTGTTCTATGTAAATAAAGGGCGAATGAAAACTAATTCAAGTCTTTCTGCACATTATTCCATTTCTCGACTAACTTGGACACGTTCTTCTTTTGCAAAGAGCCTACTTTCACCTGAAACAAAGACGAGTGTAAAAAATATGTGCAACTTCCAAGAAAGCGCGAAGAAACTAACCTTTTTCTTCTTTTTGGCCGGTGGTTCTTGAACAACTTCTACGACTTTTGGTACTATCGGATCCGGAACTTCCTGCACTTTCTTGTTAATTGTGTTTTCTATTTCGGCTATATCCGTGTAAAATGAATCAAGCACAGAAGTCAAATCTGGTTTCTTCTATAAACAAACAATGGTTAAAGATGAAGTTTTTAAAAGTTAAGTTACTTACAGCTTCAGATTCTTGAGGATCTATGCCTGGTGGTAACGGTTCGCTGACGATCACTGATTTCTCTTCAACTACACTTTCTACGGCTAATTGAAAAATTAATATACTAAATTGTAGGGATTGTGAGGTGGTTATACCTGGAGGATCGACGTTGCTATTACTTCCAGATGGTGACGGGGTTCGAACAGGTGTACTACAAACTTCTTCATCGGCAGGTGGCGGAGGAGTCGTACAAATATCCATGGCATCGTCCTCCATCTCCGGGTAATCCCACTGGCACTCATCTGTTACTTTGTTCCGGTAGTAGTAACGTTTTTGCGCCCTAAAACACCCCGACAAAGACGAAATATCTTAGAAACCCTCTCCAGTAAAATGCAACTTCCTCGATGATGCTTTCAATAATTTATATATATATTGAGAATATATATAAATATTTACAATGATTGACACAGTGATAGAACAAAATAATAATAACATTTCAAAATTTCAAACAGGAGCATCATTGGAAATAAAATATATATTTTTTGGTAAAATTTGGACTTTGTATACTATACCTGCACCGGAAATAACATTATAAAACATTATTCATAATTATTAGATATAGGGTATTTTTTGTGATAACAAAGCAATTGCGTGAGAGTTTACTATCTCAGAAATATGTACTTTTGCAGACCGCATCGCATCATCCTAAACACATAGAAAAAATATATTATCAATTGGAAAATAAACAATGGTATTATTAAAAAAAAATAAAGATTCATACTCTTAAAGCGATATTTCAAGCACTTTTCCATTTAGATTAAATTAAGTTAATTGAGGCTTTGAAATATCTAGCAAATTGACGGATTAATATGCAAATTTATACTCACAATTCGTTAACAATAATATGCAAAACTTTACTGTGATTGGGAAGAAGTAAAGGGGTTTTCACGCACACTCATTCACGCGTTTTATGTATATACAATAAATAGTAATTAATCCTCACCTGTTTGCGCTTCGCTTTTGGATCTTCGAACTTTTGGAGAAAATATTATTATAACATATATGCAAGTAAAATAAAAGTCAGGGCTGTTAAGGTCTGAACAGAAACGTAATGTTACGTAATGAAATACACTCGATTCGTATCAACAGATATAATAGGAAAGAAATGTTGATTGTACCTGTCCCACTGCAATAGCCAACCGCTCGGCGCAGCTGCCTCTTCGAGCTTAACCAAACCTTCACACGTCTCCGTCAGCCATTTCTTTAAATATCCAGAATTCAGACTTCCATCTCTTAATGCTGTATGCAACGTCTGAAAACAAAATAATTTAATATAACACTAATACACGATAAAAACGTATTACCTCTAATTGAATGAGCATGATTTGCACCGGACTGACCGATTCTTTCCCTTCGGACAAGAATAGCAATTTTTCCTTGAGAGATAAATGCGATTCGCTAATTTCATCATCTTCGGTCTTCTCCTCACTTATCGTCGGATTCAATGTATCCGATTTAATGAACGCTATTTTCATCCCGCTCTTAGCGCTGCTGCTCTTTGCGCTTTCATTTTCACTAAACCCGAATCCCTTACGCTCTCCTCCATCGTCATCAGCATCCAGCGCTCTATGCTTCGGAGAGTTCGTTAAATTGATTCCGATCCGACGTTTGCGCTTGAATGCTTTTGTATCCAAATCATCTGTATCTTTGGCCAAGTATTCATTCACTTTGGGCTCTTCAAATTGTTTAACATCTATTGGTTTTATAACGGGAAATAGGGTGCTGTGTGATTGCGTAGGTTCGGGCTCGTTCGGTTCCTCGTCCAAATCAGTATCGTCATCATCTCCGTAGTCTGCCAAGAGCGAAAAACCAGTCACTTTATCTTTGAGGATTTCCTTTGTTGTATTCGGTACCAAAACAGTGACTTCAGACTGAACCTAAAGATAAAGAAGAGAAAGTTTAAAACAAAAGAATTTAAGTGTTTGGAATAGCCTCAGCAACCGCGAAATCTCGACTAGTAAAAGGAGTTCTCAGCAGCTGTTCATCATTGACCATTTTTGCTTTTCATATTTCAGATTGAAAACTTTATATAAAATCATTGGTTCTTTCCAATAAAGAATAAACCATCAACTGATAATTATCATCATTAATATTCATTATTACATACATATCAATTATATGAAATACTTACTGGTTTAATATTTTCCTTTTTCTTATTTTCATCTGCACTCTCACTTTCACTATCTGAATCCCCACCATATGAGGAAATTAAAGTTATTTTCCTAAATAAAAAGAAAGGAAACACATATTACATTTAATTAATTTATATAATATTAATAACCTACTCATCCTCAGAATCACTGCCATTTTTGGACTTTGGCATTGGTTTTTTCTTAACTTTGGTCTTGTTGAATTTAGCATTGTCCTTGATTGTGTACAGTTTGTTATTTAATTTACTTGTTTCCTCTCTGATGTTGTACACTTTTACATTGGAAGCAATGGACGGAAAGAGGCCATTGGGTTTCTTGTTAGCCTCCAGCCATTCCTTAAATTCTAAAGGCATTTCCCAGGTGACTGCATTAGTGTTTATGTTCCAATAGTATGGACATCCACTTTGGTCATCAAAACATTCCTGCCATGCTGCATGTGCAAAATAATTGATCAGACAATTTTCTATTACAGTTTATTGATATTCACTTACAAGTTTCTTTGATTCTTTCTTCTGAAGGCACTGTATCATTTACTTCACTCAAAAAATTATGTACACTTCCATCCATTTTATTTATGAGTACTATAACAGGAAAAACTCTTCAAATGAAAAAAATAACCTTCAATATATGATTCTTCCAAACGAAGCGCTGCTCGGTGATTATTGCCAGAGATTGCCAGACAGTTCATGGAAATACCAGAATAGACAACTAATTACACAGGAAAATTATAACAGTTTTACTTAATACCATTAAAATATGTTTAATATTAAATTAAAGCAACTAAATATTATTAAATGAGCAAATAATAATAATAAATATTATTTATTATTAGATTTAAATTGTGGTTTATGAAATGTTCATAGTTATTGATGGAACTGAAGTTGCCTAAGGAGGATTGTATATAGATTATGTTGGGTTATGTTTACAATGTAAGTTATTTATAGTATCTTATCCTTGGTTTGTTTATTACGGAGATGGTATAAAAGAATCGTGTGATTGCGATGTACGAGCAGTACAAGCGCAAAACTCGGGTAAACATGGAATATAAAGGTACCAGTTTGAGTGATATGCACAAAGGTAAAGGGCCTTGGGAATATGAGACATATAAATTGCAGCCCTCAAAGTACCACACAGTTCTGTATCAACTTCCTGCAACTTTGAAGGAGCCCCCAAAACCCCACACAAGTTCAACTGTTTTCCATTGGGATGAAGGCTATGTTCGCATGCCATACTCCAATAAGAATCTCTTCCCCAAAAATATTGTAAGTGTATTTTAAGAAACTACATATTTTTGTTTTCCAATATAAATGTAAAGGATTTGACAATAAATTGATGTCTATTTCATAATATTAGCAAATCATGTTTGATGTTCAGAAGTATACTTATCATTTGACCATAAACATTTGAATTCTTCCAATTTATAAGTAAAGTATATAAATTTGTTAAATATTTATATGTCTTGATTCACTAAAGTTAATACCTTTACTTTTATATATAGGAATCATACTCATAATATTGAAAAACTTTATTATGTCAATAATGTTTAGTAAAGTAATACTAGACCATTATTTTTCATAGAACTGATAATATGCTTTTACATATTACTTCTAATACATATGTATTTAATACAAAATTGATAACAAATATTTAATGAAGATTTAAAAATAAGTACAAACATTATTATCTATAAAACTATTGAGTTTTTATAAAATATTTTTGTTATCTTTCAATACAAATATCAATTTTCCCTATATAATTTCATAATATTGAGAAACATTATGAAATGAAATTGAATAATCTAACATATTTTCTATGTAATATTTATTCTTTTCTAGGAAGAAGGAGAAGATATTCTTGTTTCGCGATGGGAACTTATAAAAGAATCGCTGAGCAAACCCATTAAATATTTAGAAGATTTCGAGAAAGCTTTACGAAGTTATAACTTTAGATTCCCGAAACCCACGGCGCTGCAGCATTTGTTCTTCGAGGTATTTCAACATTCCGATTTTGTTAATATCTTTCTAAAATAATTTATAATTAATACTCTCAGTAAACAAAGTCAATGATGCAAGAGTTAATGAAATATTTAATGTACACCAAAAGGTTAAAATTCAGATATATGATTGTTTCTTAGGTGTTTTCGGAAGAAGAAACTCAAAATTTCTTTAACGTGCTCTTACCGGGAATCATCGATTTGGCATTAAAGTTGCCAGAGATCGTTCCGGATTCTATTCCACTATTAAAATCCGGTTCTTGTAAGTCCATCTCGTTCAGCCAACACCAAGTGTCATGTATATTAGCAAACGCGTTTCTGTGCACGTTTCCTACTAAAAAGGAAGATGTTAATTATCATAGCGTCAACTTTGCCAGGTATTTCGTTATGAAATACAATTCTAAGCATTTTATAATAAGCATCATTTCTGTTGCAGCCTTTTCGCATCGAATTCCAGGCCCAAGCGTGTCAGCTGCGTCATAGAGAAACTGAAATGCATTTTGCATTATTTCCAACGAATCTTGAACGAAGGTATATATTTACTACTTCCTTATAGAGTCTTGGTATTCCCAACAGATTTTCGCAAGGTTGAAGTGAGAAATAAGGAAATTCTGTTATATTTTCTAGCGTTGATTTGTATTTATGGTATATACATTGTATATTTTGTTGTAGCACCGGTTGGAGTGATAACGTTCGAACGGAAACATGTGAATCGTTCGTTCGTACCGAGGTGGGATAAGCTGGAAACTAATTTGGGAAATACCAGGGTCCATATAACAAGTGAAAGTTGTATTGAGGATGGTTTAGGTTTCCTGCAAGTCGATTTTGCCAATAAGTTAGTAATTCGATGGGATTTACATGGATTATATTAATTTTTTAAAAGATTTGTAGGCGGAGGTGTTTTGGGCTATGGCTGTGTCCAAGAAGAGATTCGATTTATAATCAATCCGGAATTGATTATTTCTCGATTATTCACTGAGAAACTTGAAGATAGCGAAGCACTTCTTGTGATTGGTAAATAGTAATATATTTACGTGGAAAGAAACTTGATTTTGGTGTTTCAGGAACTGAAAGGTTTAGTAATTATAAAGGATACTCGGATGCGTTTACTTTCGATGGCGATTGCAGAGACGATGTGCCTTTTGATCAGTATGGTAGGCGGATAACTAGTATAGTAGCTATTGATGCTACACGCTTTAATAAAGTCGCTGACCAATTCGGATGTCATCACATTATAAGGGAATTGAATAAGGTAGTTACTTAGAGGATGTACTAAACAATATTACATGTTGTCGATTACAGAGTTATGCGGGTTTCCACTCCCGTTTGACTGGGTCGATTTCAGCTGTAGCCACAGGAAATTGGGGATGCGGAGCTTTCGGAGGTAACGTCCATCTCAAGTTCTTAATCCAATTGATGGCTTGTAGCGCATCTAACAGAGATATGGTTTATTACACATTCTCCGATCCAGAGCTACGCGAAAAACTATACGACACCTACATGTTCCTAGCAGTAAATCAAATAACGATTTGTAAGTTTACACTTATTTTCATTTGTCCTTCAAGCGATAATTTTGATGATGTTTTAGGTAAACTCTGGCGCTTGTTATGCGGTTATAACAGAAGCAAAATTGTACCGGAAACTTTCCTCTCGTACATCCAGCAAAGCTACTTCGATTCCAAATCTCAGCCCAGTATAAAATCATTCTTTAATAGCGAACCAGTCGCATCCACTTCTAAAACAGAATACGTATTAAAGGTCGATGTTGAGGAGAGTGTCGTGAACGACTGCAAGCGCATGGAAATTTCTCCAGTCTCTAAACTGATATCGCCCTTGAAGACTATCATCAAAAACCTGAAAGTGGCGCCGATACCGAAACTGATATCGCCGATCAAAAGTGACACGGAAGATCTATCTCCACCCAACACAAAGCGGAAACGAATAAAATCCGACGATGATTTAATAAATCTCTTCAAGCTGTTTGATGATGATAAGACTACTACAACGATTCCAAATAGTAATAATATGAATAACAGTTCGTTGCTGGAATGCATTGACGATTATAGCAGGAAGAATAAGAAAGCGGAAAGCACAGATGTGTACGTCGAAGATATCTTGGAAAGCCTTTCACCTGAAGAGGAAAGTAAAACGCCGTCGAAATTAAATTCTAGTAAGAAAAAGATCACTGATTACTTCAGTAAAAAATAGTTTGATAATTGAATTCTCAAGACATTGTGATATTATTTACTGTTTTGTTTTTTAAATTATTATATTTAAATTTGTTTATTAATTTAAGAAGTTTAAATTAAGTTTGTATCGCTCTCGTTTTTACTAAAATCAAAGTAATAAACCGAATTTGCCTTAGAGGTCGTCTATTTTTGCACCCGTGGATTATTGAGTAGTGAATGCAGCCTTGATTATAATTGGGGGTATTTATTGGGAGCTATTAGTTATTCCAGAATCTAACCCTATTACTTTTGAGTGCACATTGAGAACGTACAATTTCATATCGATTAATATTTTTTTAATCAACTTTATATTTTACTTTACATTAAACTATTCTAACTAATGTAATAATCAAAAGACCTTTAACTGGTACACGCAATGTATTACCTTTTGAACATGCCTAGTAGGACGTTATCATAATTTTGTACAGGAAAGAATTAATTTGTTTGGTATGTCATGGGATGAATCCATACTATCCAATGTTGATTCAGTTGACGAAGTTGTCTAAAAATTTGTTCGGTCTAGAAATTAGTAATTTCTGACCCCTCAAAAGAGTTAAACGTTAATCTTGACCATGATTTTTTGTTTACTAAGATGGATTAACTAATTGATATACACATCAATAATATACCACAATTTTATTAGGTTTATTTCTAGAGTTTTTTTTATATGAAGGTTTTAACATTAAAAAATCTACTGCATTTTAATTGGTAAATCTTATTACCTCCAAGAATTTCACTTGGGATAATTTACCCCGGTTAGCCGACCCTTGTTCATTTAATATTATTAGTATGATTCAAACAAGCAACATCTTCATTTATATCACGATTTTGCTTTAATCCTATAAGAAACAAGAAAAATTCAGAAAGCGTAAAATAATTTTATAATTATTTTGAAACGTAATTAATACTTCGCTTTAATTTTATTTTCATTAACTTCTTTTTCTTATAATCAATACTATTTAAATGGAAAAATGTTTCTGTTCATCAATATTAATGACATGCTCTGATTGAAAGTTACTTGTTGTGATATACAACTCTATTACATTATTAATACTTAATTAATTACCTAATTATTTAATAATTTAGATTGTAGATAGTGACCCACAAGTATTGTAATTAGTATTGACTTTTCATAATTCTTAATAGCATGTCTTCATAGATTTAGTTTTTGTTGTTAACATAAAATGTTATAAATATCATAATTCTATCAGATCATATAGGAAGAAAGAAATCGATTTACACGTTTTTCTCAGGAACCTATATACCGTGTAAATTGAGGGATCTGTAGTCTTAAGCTTTTTTGATCATTTGCAAAATTATATAAGTATATTTAAGTTTCAGCAGCATTTCTCTTCAAAAATACAAATACAATGGAACCTCGCTTAACGAACACTTTGCATAATGAGCATTTCGCTTAATGAATACAGGTACCACTGTATTCAACTTATAGTAATTTATTATGGATGTAAAATTCATATATTAATTAAAAAAAACCTTTATTAGAAAGTACCATCAAAATTGAGATTGAATAGATCAAAGTTTCTCGTAATTATTACGTGAATTACGTGCTTTTTGATTGAAACAAAATCTAGGATACAAATTTTAGCACACACCCCTTATTTTGCAAGCAGAGTGTTTAAAGTATTAAAGCCATGTAATCACGGGAAGATAATTAGCTTGAAGTATGAAACAATGCATTTCAGAGAAGTATTTAAAGAATGAAATGTATGTACTTTTCATTTTAACAAATGACTATAGCTAGAAATTTAATTCTCGTATTTAATTTCCTATTGCAATTACCATAATTAATATTGACACGAGAACAATTCGATATAGCCTCTAGTTACTTTTTTCCCTTCGATTAAACAGAAATAAACGATGGGTACTAGGAAAATAATGGTAATGATAAAAAAACGTAATAATTTGCCTTTTTTCGCACTAAAAGCCTAATTACTCAATCGCGTTTTGCTGACGTGAAACACAAAGTGTAGGAAAGTATTGCTGCGTATTTTTATTTCATGGAGCACGTGAATGAAGATTCAGCTGCTACAGAGGATAGAAAGAGAGGAATGACGAAAAAAACAAACAAATATTGTGGTCGTTTGCGAGGTGAGGGTGCAGGAACATGGCAGGAGGACAAACAGAAAACCGCTTCGGACATATTTATACTCGCGTATTGATTTTTTCCTTCCTCTTTTGTTTGTCGATTGATGAATTATTGCGTTGTTCTTAATTGACCGTCTGAATCGATTGCTTTCATTTAAATTTATTTGCCAATAATGACAAAATATTATATTGAAGAGCTAACAAATACATACTTTAATGTAAGAAATTTCTAATAATTGTGTATTCCTTCTTGATAAAATTGTTTTTTAACTAACAAATTATTATAATTTTAGTTCATAAAAGTGAAATTAAACGTTGGAGCTTTGTCCAAATATCCAATAAAAATTGAATTGAATTGAAGAATTGAAATAAGAATTAATTTAATAATTGTGGCAAAACTCTTGAATTGTTTGAATCGATGACTTTAGAAAAACTTGACTGTATCATGCAACAAAAGAATGTATGTTTTGAAATTTTACAAACTTCAAAATATCTTTCGGTTATGCATTTAGAGATAAGGTTTAATAAAAATTTGAAGTAAAAAATGTGTACATAATCAATGTCGTGTCTAAGTTTTTTCGGGTTACGCAAAATATTGGCAATAAGATTTGGAGATCTTGTCGTGACCGACCATTTTGTTATCATCTATTATATAATTAATAATGAAGGAAGTAGACATTATTAAATTAACAGGAGTTAATAATCTATGAGATCAACACTCGTATAGTTGACTTCTCAATAAAAACACTGTTATATCCAATAAAAATAAATAGGAATGTTACATTTAATACGAATAAACCTCTTTATGGCCTTTATTGAGAGGAGAGAAAATATTGCATATGTGTCACGGGTGAAGTGGAGGCACTGTGGGATTCCTACCTTATCCTACCCACTAAATCCTCATCCACGTCTATATATCTTGCTTGGCTCACCTCTCTTGGTTCTTCAGCATATCATCATCGAAAGTCTCTTAAGCTTTTCTTCTTTTAGATTTCTTTTTTAGATGATGAATATGCAGATATAACTTCACTTTTTTTGCTGACAAAATGAGCAACAGCTTGCAAGTAAGTCCAGTCCTGTAGTATAGTTAAGACACATCTATAATCATATAATCATGTTTATCAATAAAAGACAAGTTAGGTTAAAAAAAAAGTTTCAGGATGTTATCTAGCCACAATTTTGATGATTTCAGCTGGATCGGGTCTTTTCTGCTTTTTAGTCGTCCGCAGACATTTGCAAGTTTGTCTTTTGTTGCCTAGAGCCTAAGAGAACCTTAATGCGAGAACCCAGTACATTATATAATTATAACGTAACATCAACACTTAAATATCAATATTTAACAGTCTGGAAATAAAAAAAAAATGTATATCATAAAAAATCTATATTTTATATAAGCAAAAATAAAGAAATAAAAAACATAGGGGTATTCCATCTTTCTGACAGTTTAAAAGTAAACGTTTTGTTGTAGAACGTACGTAGAAAAAGCACGCTCGATTTAATGTGATTGATAGCGAAGTACACTCGAGTCCAGAGGATCAATAGCTTGCACTTTTTTCTAACGTATCGATTACGAAACTACACTCACCTGACTTGTAACTTATTTAGATATGCACTCGTACGAGCTATATCCAATTAACAGGACTTCATTTAATTTTAAATCGGCAATTTTCCGTGTTTCCACTTATTTCGTACTATATATTAACTCAACGAGGAAACGTCAAGATCCAAATAAATTCCGTGCTAAATAGGTTATTTTATACACTCCTATTTGAGCTTAATATCTTCGAGTTTCTCCACTTGAAATCATCAAGTATTTAATTTGTTCCAAAACGTGCCTTTACGTGTATTAATATTAAACTGACGTTTAATTATATTTTAAATATACGAGCTTGCAGTTTTAATTACTCACTGTGCTTATAAATTAAATCATGAACGATTATAAATTAAATGAATTACAATATTGATTACAAGAAAATATGGTTTAGTTATTGGTTTTAGCTACTTAATATTTTTCATAAATAATATAAGAAACAGGAAAGTTAGTTTGCTTAAATCAATTGATACTCGCATCGTGCGGTTTTTATCAGTATGTATTAACTATGGTATGATATGAAAATTATAAAATAAACGAAATTTTAATTAAGCATTTTGCAAATTTTTTGTTTTGTTTTTTAATATCCCGGTTTGAAACGTGTGACAATTCGTGGTTCAATAATTTTATTGAAACTTGATACGGGTTTGAAATTTATACTGAAAAATTGTGAAGCACCTTTTCCAATTAAATTCAATTCCAATACTACTATCTTGTCATATATTATAAATAAAATATAGATACTTTAATATTTCTTCATGTAGATAATCTTAAATTTTTTTGTAAAAAAATGAAATAATTACTTGTGTCTTCATAAATTAAAATACGAACTTTTAAAAACTTGAAGAATACTTTTAGAATACAAAACTTTGGGCGAAATAAATCTTCATAATAATACTGAAAATACTTTGATAAAACTTTGGGAAATAATATAATGTATATCAAAGAAAGAACAGTTCTAAAGTTCTACAATTAATTCTTTTTATGCTCAAAATATATAGATTTTTATTAGTAACTTATTCTTGTGAATATACCTTTAATACTATTATCATGTTTTTCTTAATACGAAAAAATATAAAAGAAGGAAAGTATACATAAGAGTAACTAAAATAAAACTAGGAAATAATCAAGTTAATTATTACTAAATATACTATAAGTTAGATATAATGTACAAGAATTACATTTTAATATAAACAATTTAGTACAGTTAAAGGCTAATCTACAAATATTGCTATGATTGATGTTAAATCATATCCAAATAATTAAAATATTTTATTTTTTTATAATAATATTGAAAAAAGCTTTT